AGTTCTTGAAAGTAAATAAAATCATTCTATTTGATCATGCCAAATATCTGGTTTAGCTCTGTAAAGGTTACGGCAGAACTGGTGCCAGGAAGTCCCCATGTCTTTGGCAGCAGCGTACATTGCTGTTGGAGGCAATGATGCCTAAAGCCATCCTGGGGGAAGAGGGTGCTGTGGGACAAAAGCAGAAGCAGTTCAGCACCGTGTCTGATCGACTGCCCTGGTAAACTTAAAGGCACACAGTGGGCATGTCTAACGTCATCGGTAGGCCTCAGAGTAAACAGCCCATCTCGATGAATGGAAACAGCTCGTTCCTGCCTTGCTCCCAGTGCATGAGAATGCAGATCCTTGTGGGGCTCTGTTCATCCTGCCCAGGGTTTTGCTTACAACCATGTGGGTGACATTTATTTCCTTTTTAAGTAATTACTTTCTGGATATGGCCGTGGGGCTGCCAAAGGAGTAAGAGCTGAGTGCCGTATCCAGCACAGCGCTGGCAAGGAGCACAGCCTGGCTGGAGAAACCTGCCTTTGAAGTACTATCAGGGCTGGAGATTATTCAGCAATTATTCTTTTTCCCTGTCATGAGTCTTTCTGAGGAGGGAGGGGAGGATTTCGGAGGCGGGTGGGTGTGCTGGGAGCTGCCGGGGAGCGCTTGGTCCTGGCCCTACAACGTTGGGGTGCCCATCCCGGGGCAGCGCTTCTGCCTGGCTCCAGCACTGCTGAACGTCGGTGCTTGTCTTCACTGCGAACCCGCATCTCCCCCGGTCAATAGGAAGACCAAGGCCTCTGAAAATTAATCTGTTGTTGAAAAAAAACCTAGGCGTCCAGTGCATTTTGAAGTGAAAAGAGTGATGGTTTTCCATTTAGCTGACATTTCCCAAAAGGTGTCCAAGCTGGCCGGGGCGGGAGGGCGCAGGCGGCGCTGAGCAGCAGCACGCCGCTTTCACCCGGCACCCAGCCCGCTGCTGCCCGATGCCGTTCCTGGATCCCCCTCAGCTTTGCTCCGGGCTCGTTTTGAGAAACCACATCAAAGCAACAGCCCAACCTGCTGCCTTCCTGCTCGCAAAAACCCAACTGTGAAATTGCGGCCAGGCAGAATAATGAAATCTGCCATCAGGCTTCCCGGGTGGAAGTGGGGCTGCGGCGGCAGGTGGCAGGGGAAGCCTGTGGCCGCCCAAAAAGGAGCCCAAGTGCTTCCTTGGCCTGGTGCAGGGCTGGAAAAGTGGGAAGAGCCCGATGGGTCGCTGTGTTAGAGGGACAGAAGTTAAATGCAGTGTATGAGTGGTGGGGTGTGGATGAGGCAGTGGCAGCGTGGCTCCTGCCTGGTCAGGATAGCACAGGACAAGTGTTTAAAGCACTTTGCAATTCCTTAAAAGTGTTGTTTAATTTATTTTTTTAATGCACTGCTTGACAGAACATCCTCTTTCACCTGCACCCTGTGCCTTATGTTGTCCCATCACGAAGTAAGCTCAACCCAAGCAGCTCAGCTCTGCTCCAGGCAGACGGGAGCCCAGGGTGGGCACGAGCTGGGCAGTCACGGTGCCGTTGTAAGAGCTTCGGTGCAGAAACGTGCAGCCCCAGGGAGGAGCGGTGAGGGCTGGGTGGTTTTGGCAGGGCAGTCCTGACAGCACCATCTCTCTGGCACAGGTTCTGGGGGTGGGAGCAGCTGTGGGGGACCAGACCTTGTCCTGGGCACATCCCCACGGCCGTGCTGGTGACTGACCTGGTCCAGGCCACCTCCCAGCATCTGTGCCTTCGTTGCGCAGTCATTTGCATCACAAATTCAAATTTTTTTCATAGGAAACCATCACACCAGGGCTGCCAGGGTGAGCTTTGGTTTGTGTGGGCTGGAGCATGTGCAAGCCCCTCTGCTGTCACAGGGAAGTATCACCATAAATATCAGTGCTGGGGTCCTGGTCATCGCCTGGAGGAGTCCAGCTCCAGCCTGGCATCACCTCCCTTCCCACCTCGCAGCAGCCAGCCAAGTGACAGCCCCGTACCCCAGGCTGCCAGACCCTCCCTACCTGCCTGCTGCGGGAAGGGGGTGAATCTGGGGAGATTTCTGCCCTTCCCAGGCACCACCTAACCCCATGATGTCCCCTGTCACAGGGCACAGCCAAGGGCTCTGCTGCCAGCAGCTTCCCGAACCTGCTCGTGATAAGGGGCAGGGGGGCACCGAGCCCACGTCTCTGCAGTGCTCGCCCCCACCGCCCCACATTACCTGGCTGAGAAGCCTGGGGAGCCCCATGGGCTCCCATCCAGGTCCAGGGCTTTGCAGTGGCACCCCCAGCCAGTGTCGGTCCCCGGGAGGGAGGGCTGGGGGCACCGGGGCACCGCCAGCCCCCGCAGCCCAGCTCCCGCAGCAAATGAGCCTCAGCGCCAAAACTTTACGGCTGAGAGGGAAAGGCCGAGCGCAGGATTTATTTGCATAGTAACTGGGCTGCTGTTGGCACTTACCCTTTAAAATAAAGTTCACAGCAAAATGTTTTTACCCCCTCACATACAGGGAATGCTAACAGCATCCTTTTTTTTTTTTTTATTTCTCCCCTCTTCTGGCTGAAACTTGTTTTTCCCTCCTTTGTGCCTCTCTGAATCCTGCCAGCGTAGAGATTCCCTTGTTCAGAGAGAAAAAAAGAAAGGAAAAAAAAAGAAAAATAAAAACTTAAGCCTGGGATTAAAAACCATCACTAAAATAGTTTGAATAACAAAGTCAACTGACTCTCTGGGAGCCCGGTGAATGCCTGTCACGTATCGCCCTTCGGCCGGGGGCACGGTCATGTGTTTCACTAGATAGTTCCTGGAAAAGCTTCTGCTCAGCCCGATAGACCTGTGGCTGCTGATACCACTGCACCCATGCCACGCCAGCCCCCCTCTCCCAGAAAGCTGTGAAAAACTTCCTGAATTTATGGGGTGGAGGGGAGAAATAAATCTCCATTGGGTACCAGAGACATCAGGTCTTCTTGTGACCTGAGTAACAACCAGCTGCGAATGGTGATCGGGGCTTCTCCAGCCTCAGTAGTCCCAGCACCCCACTCCACCCTTACTGATGTCTTTAGCAGTGGGATTTGTGTTTTTTTTTCCCCACCTAACTTTTGCATAGCTTTAGCTACATATATATAGTCAAAAAAGTGGGACCTTGGATGAGATAAAAGCAGAGGGTTTGTAAAATCCCCTCCCCAGGCAGAGCCACTTTGCTGTGGCAGACACATCATGTAGGACCATGCAACCAAGAATGTGTTACTGGGGGGATTTCTACCTAAAACCAAAGCCAAATAACTGTGGTTTTACCCTTTTGCTGACACCAGCAGCACAAACCTGGAAACACAGAGGTGTGACAAGGCACAGCAAGCGGGACAATGGCTCAGATAAGGCCACACTGTGTGGGAGGGCAATTAAAGGCTCAGATTTATGAGCTGTGTGCCTGTGCTCAGAAGGCTGATGGTGGTGATGGAGTGGTTGGAGATGGAGAAGTTACTGATGGAAAGGTCAGAGATGGAGACGACAGAGATGGAGAAGCCAGAAATTGTTGTTCCAAAAGTGCTGCAATGTTTTAGGGTGAAACTGGGCAATAAAGGCACAGCACACCCCTGGTGAACCAGACTGTGGTGAGTACAGGCTGTGCCCAGCCTCAGCTGCTAAATGCAGGGCCAGGGTGGGGCAAGGGCAGTGCCACCATGAGCACAGGGCATATGTGCCATCTCCAGAGATCCTAAATCTATGTGCATGAGTAAATTTACTTATTTGTATATATATTTAAACATATATATTTGAATATATAATTATATACAGATACGTTTAAGCACACATATATAGTTTATATATAAAAATACACATGCTTATACACAAAGTAAATATTTTTTCCTGCTCCCCATGGGCACCTTTGAGCTGCAGGGTCTGCAGCAACGCCTGGGCTTGCTGTGTTCCCACGCCATCAGCTGCACATTTACCAGAGGTGTGATGATGCCCGGTTACCCAGGTTATGGACCGCGTTATCCCCCGTGCAGGGGCTGGCTCCTGGAGCTGCCTGCCCGGTGCCAGGCAGCGAAGGGGGGGCTGCACCACCAAACTAGTGCGGTATGGCAGAGAGAAGAGACAAGTGGTATTAAAAATTGCACCAAGACACCATTAGTATTACTGGCCCCTTACTAAAGGATGTTTTGCATCTTCTTTCAAGAGGGACCATACCCATCTCTAAGCATAAATGAGCTAAAGAAGTGTAAAGTGAAATAAACTAAAGGACTGACTTGAGAGAGGAGCACAACTCCCACTTTGGGAAGCAGCTCGATTATTAAGTCCTACTGGATTGATGAGCCCCAAAATGCCACTTTTTAAAAGTCACTTTTTAAAAACATTTACCCACATAAAGCTGGAGACCATGGCCTCTGTAAATCAGCCAGGAACACCTCTTGGTTTGAAAATAGCACTAAGCATCTTATGTGTTTAACACTCAAAAGATCTTTTAAAATCAGACTAAGCACACTTGAGTGGTTCCCGCTTAATCTCTACCTCTAGATAAACACTGGGGAGTCAGTGTGTGCACACAGATACCAAGAGCCATTTGCTTCCTCCGGGAGCATCAGCTGGAGGTGTTTACATGAGCTGCTTACATGCTAGCACATTGAGCAAAGCTTGAACTTTGCAAAATGAAAGTGAAATAAAATAAATAAACCCTACCATTAGTTTTCTGTGAGCTGGCTTTAAAATTAGCAGGTTTTAGACATAAACATGGTAAAAGGAGCCCTCAGGGGAAGAAAAACCCTCCAAAACCCACATCCTACCTTATTTTCAACAGTGTATGCTACTCTTTATTTCATGCCACTTTAGTAAGGTAAACTAATTTGGTTTCCTGTTTCCAATAAATTTTATATGTACAAAAATATTTATATATGTCTATTATATATAAATCTGATTAGAAACATGTATGTATGAACAAGCACATGTTTTCTATCAATAGCTGTGTGTGTGTTCATATGTGTGTGTGAAAGAATACATATGAATGCCTTATTTCAACTGATATTTTAGCTTTTATTTCATAAATCCCGGCTGCTGAAGGTGCCAGATGAATCACAGGTTAGAAAATAATCTAAAATGAATAGCATAGCATAACATAAAACATTACATAACATAACATAAGAAACAGCAGTATAACTAAATTTAATGGCAGGTAGGACCTGTTTACAGGTGCTCAGACATTTCCTGCCAGGAGGTCCATGAACCGTGCTGGGCTCAGCGCTCACTCCCCCCACTCCAGCCCACTGTGTGCTGCAGCGTTTTCCCTTTCCAGGCTCCCTGTTTGCTGAGCCCACCCTAGAGCACCCCAAGGGCTGCCTGAGGCTTTGCAGGAGCCCCGTCACTTACTGTTGCCCCAGCTCAGCTCAGCCCTGGGCTGAAGGCTAAATCTGGGACTGCTTTTCTGATTTACTTAGGGCTGGAAACACCGTCTCTGTCCCAGTAAGGTCTGTCCATGGCTGGCGTGGACGCAGACAGTTTTCTGGGAGGCTGGACAAGGTTGGGCAGGACCCAGCCCTTGAGCTGTGCCCAGGCATCTCTGGGATGAACATGAGTTAGTCCGGGTCAAAACCGTGTCCTGGACTGAGCTCACGTTTCAGCAGGCTGGAAAAATTAGCAAACAGATCACATGCTGATGTGAGAGTCGGGGCTGGGAGATGGGCACGCACGGTCTGGGGTCGTTTTTTGCTCCTGCTGGAGGGAGTCCTGGGCTGAGCAGAGCCCGGTGGCTGGCTGTCCGTCGTTCTGCATTCCTGCATGCTCTCTTCAATCAGTCAACCATGAGCACTTCAGCCTCAGTCTGCTCAGTCCAGAATACAGATATTTTGGGCATCTGCAATCTGGACGAAAGCTCCAGTCTTGCCAGCAGCTCTGCATGGGCTTGAATGGAAAAAAAAAAAAAATTAAAAATATCCCATCGAGTTGGGTAAACACTGCCTGGCTGCCTCAGCCAGGCACTGCCAGCCTCCTGTCCCGGCCCTTGTCCCCCTGGGCAGGGGAGCAGCCTCAGCCCCAGAGCCACTATGCAGTTGCCCAGCCAAGACAGAGCTGTAGAAAAATAATAAATTTAATCCAAATGTTTATACCACTGGCACTGTCCAGGTCATGTGCCTAGTAAAGCTGAAGAGCGAATGAATATTTTCTTGTAGCTGCCATCTAAACTGCCAGAAATGATTGCTGTGCAGAGCATCCCGGAGCAGTGCTGGAGGAGGCGGGGGGGGGGGGGGGGGGGGGGGGCTGAGACCTGCTCGGACAGATGGATGGACACACAGAGGCGTTGGGTCCAGGTTCAGGGAGTGGACCAAGAGCTGTGTGCAGGCAGTGGGTTTAGGGGCACGTTTGGGGTTTCTGTGTGAGTGAGGCACTGCCAGATTGTTGGCAGAGTGAGGACCCTGGATTTCCCCTCCCCTGCTCTTGCGCACACACACACACACACACACACACACACACACACACACAGACATTCCTCTTCCCATCCTCATCACACATGGTGAGCTCCGTACGTGCAAGGCACTGAACTCCAGCCCAGCCCCAGCTCCCGCAGGGGTCTGTAACGCATCCTGGTTGCTACAGGTTTGTGTGCCGAGGTGCTTTAAAAAAAAAAAAGACAACCACCCCAACCCAACCAAGCGCAGCTGGAGCCTGCTGCCTGAGAGCGTCGCAGCGTAACGGTTACAACAGGCTTACTCATTTCTCCAGTGAGTAAGACTGAAAGAGGAGCCCCGTGGGTGCGGGGCCGGGTGGGGGGGCTGGCGGACGATAAGGAGCAACTCCCTAATCTCCAGCCCCAGCAGCCAAGAGGGTGAGGGTGATAACTCACACAAACCCCAGGCTCAAAGCAGTGAGGGGGGTGGTGCTGCTGGTTTGAGTGTTTGCAGAGATGCCCTCACCTCGGAGCGGGGAGGGGGGGTGTTTCTGCAGTGTGTCCCCCCCCAGCCCAGCACCCCCAGGAGCTGGTGGTGGTGGCAACCACAGGGCATGCACCCTGGCCCGCCCAGCTAGCCTCTGCACTTGATGCCCTGTGCTCCCTGGGGCATAACCATGGAGAAAGGTGGCTACAGCAGGTAGCATCCTTCACCTGATAAATCACCCTGTTGAGGATGAGCCAAAGTTTGGAAACTTTTTTTAGAGGTAAGGAAGGTCCCAGCCAAGGTCCATCTTCGGCCACCCCATGGGCAGAGTGTTGCTGGCAAGCTGGGAGCACAGCAAAGTCTGGTGCTCCCCTGATTCAGACCTGGGCTGGGATTTTGGCTCAGATACCTGTTTTTTATCTGCCCCATTGGAGAGCCTCCAGGCAGGCTAGCTGGGTCAGGCCAGAGCCCATTGGGGCCCATCTCCTGCAGCCCCCACTACTGCTGCATCACCCACCCCCAGCTCCCGGGGATAAACACCACAGCCCCCTCACCAGCCCCACATGGGCCAAACTGCACATGATAAGCCCTGCTCCAAAGCACATTTTTGTCAGAGGGCAGCAAGATAAAAATCTTAAAATAGCTCAGCGTGACATTCGCCAGGGTGCCACCGCACTTCCCACACGCTGCTGTCCTCCGTCCTCCCTCCCTGGCTTTGGGGGAAGGCTGGGTTCCTAAAAACCAAAGCAGGACACGTGTAGAGCCGCTCTTGTACCTGGCACCAATCACTGCGGAGCAAGACTCTGCCTCTGCTTTTGGGGTGCCCCCTGCTCCTGCAGAGCCCTGCCATAGGGCCCCCCCTGTCCCCAGCTTGCTGCAGGGAGCATCACACCCTCTCAACCATCTCTCCTTTGGCTCGGACCAAGCACCACTTGGCCAAGTCCCCAGTGAGGGAACAAAAGCAGAGAGCCCCAGCAACGGGCCAGGGAGCTGGGGGAGGGCACAGCTCCCTGCATGGCTCCTCTCCAACGCTGGAAACCAACGGGGCATAAAAGTGAAACATCCCCCTCGCTGCCTTCGTCCCCCCCCTGGGGACGTTGCAGGCTGGGCTGCTGTGTGCCTGGCCAGGCTGCACCAGTGGCTTGCTGAGGCTGGATGCTGTGGGGAAGACTGGAGGAGCTGATGCCAGCATCCTCTCCTGGAGAGGCCAATGCAGCTCCAGCTCCAACTCCCTCCTTGCAGGGTGAACCCACTTCTTTAACCCCTCTGGTGCCAGCTGGCCAGGGCACTGCCCTGGCCTTGGTCCCTGGGCTCTCGGCAGTGCTGCCAAATAAATATCATAAAAAGCTTTAGCCTTTCGCAGATTTTAGGCACACACTCCAACTCTCCCTAATTTTGTGTTTAGTTTTGTGCAGCTATTAGCATGCCATATTTAAAGGCGCAGTTTCAATTCATATCTATCTTGATCCTTTTTTTTTTTTTTAAATGGAAAACAAGATTAAAAATAGTCATCAGAGAAAACAAACACTGTAATGCCCACACAAATTTTTTTTCTAACAATTTCAAAAATGCCCATGAGAGCAACTGCTTTTAAGCAGTAAAGAATAGCAGCGGAGAATTTGCAGCGCAGACATGGCACTAAGGAAATAAGCATTTAATTTAGGGAGGAAACTGTGGTCCACACGCTACCACACTGCAAACCCAAGCTCCTTTCACTGCGACCGTCTCACACCTGGCTGGTAGCAGGCAGCCCCAAGGAGGCACACTGGGATTACTGGGGAAGTCCTGCCAGCATCACCTGGCCATGACGAGAAAAATCCTGCCATTTGCTCTGCCCTGTGGATACTGCAGAGCTCGGGAGGTGGTCATGAACTCCCCAGCGCAGCATCACCTCCAGTCTCAGCCAGTCACAGTTTGGCTCTGAGGACAGGCTGCTGTGACGCACCATGTTTATCCTTTTATTCACGATACTAATTCTTTTATTAATGATATGGCTAGTAAAAGCAACTGAGCTCACTTCAATTAGCTCATGGCCCTGGAATGAGCCTTTTTGCTCATACTCCGTGGTGCAGATGATGGTGGGGGCTTTGTCCAGACCTCCCTGTGTGGAGGCACACGCTCCTTCCTCTCCCACGCCCCGCGGGCTCCCATGGGATGGGGTGGCAGTGAGGCAGGGCAGTGGTGTGCAACTCGGAACCCACCAGCGTGGCAGCTCATCCCCACACGTGTGCAGCCAGTGCCACACGTACCGGCCAAGTGCCTCCAGTTCCCCAGCACACTGCAGGAGCGAGCTGAGCCGGGGACGAGGCGAGCCATGAGCTCGCAGGGATGCCACGTGCCCAGGCAGGATCCCGGGATGCCGGCTGGCACTGAGCTGAGGAGCCAGCAGAGCCCACACCGACCTGAAGTTAACTCTGCCAGGCTGGCTGGGGCTTTTGAGGGGGTGTTTTCCCCGGCCTCCCTCACCTCCCTCTGCAACACCAGCAAAGCCCCAGGGATGTGGGTTTCTCCAGGCAGGAGTAGCACGGTGCATCTCATGCCCCTGATGTTTTTGGGACGGGGCTGTGGGGAAACCCCATGCAGGAATCATCAGAAATGACCTGCATGACACATGCTACGTGGAAAAATCGAGGTTGAAGTTCCCCCATCAGTGGCCAGGTTGTGCCAGCGTGATGCCAGCAGCCGCCCAGCGAGGCAGGCAGGCAGCCCCACGGGAAGGGGCTCTTTTGCTGCACCTGTATTTGACTGTAGAGCTGCAGAACCTTAGGGTTCCCTCCCCACCTCCCATAGCCCTGGGCAAGGGAAGAGACAGACAGACATCACTACAAGGAGCAGGGATTCCCCTGCTTCCCCAGCAGTGACCGACATGGCCAGAAACAGGCCCCAAAAGGCTCATGTTAATTAACCTCACATTCTCTTGGCCCCTTCTGCTATGCTGCTATCCCCAAAATACAGTCCTATGGGCCCAGTGCTGCACATCCCACTCATGGGTGCCCCGGCTGAGGAGCAGCCAGCGGCCACCTAAGTGCCAGCACAAGGCAATGACCCTTCTGAAGATCCTTTTTAAAAGCTGATTTATCCCCAGTTTAACCAGCCCTCCACACACCAGAGCTCCCCTGCCCACCTTGGCTTTCGTGCGGTGTGGGAGCACAGATGTGTTGACACTGGGGGAGAAATTGGCTCAGGGGACACCCACTCCGGAGAGGTGCAATCTGTCTGGAAAACAGGTTTTTGCTGCAGCACCCTGGGAGCAGAGTATGGGCAGAGCTGCTCCCTCGCACAGCTCCAGGAGCACACCTCAGCGGTTCGGCCGCTCTCCCTGCGGGAACAGCAGCGTGGCGTGCAGCACTGCTGTCCCACAGCCCACGTGGGAAAGGCTCCGCTTGGTCCCCTCGGCGCCCCGCGACGCTATGTAAATACTGACGGGATTTTCTTAGCAGCCGTGACACACACATCTGCTCATGCAAAGCGTGCCCAGGGCGGGAGCGGGTGGCCGGGATTGCCCAGCCGTCGGCCGGCGCAGGAAGCTCGCCGCCACGCACGGGTGGCTTTTCTGCACCAGCCAGGCTGCAAGCTTGAACTTTTAGCCTGCAAGTGCTTCATGCATCCAGACTAGCCACCCCGGCTCCCCTCCTTGCCCGGAGAGCCTGGGCTGAGCTGCAGCCCACCCTCCCACCCAGGCAGGCAGTGGGGAACCATCTCTGCCGGCCACGCAGGGACAGCCCCTCAGCCCGCCGCAGCGTGCCTGCCCCAGCACAGGTAACGCTGGGGGATGATTAGTTCACGCTGTCATCAAGACAAAATAAAGCCCAGTTGCTGTATTAAAATACAGGTTTTTTCATAATTGTTCTATTTCCATGTGCCTGCGTACACCCGGCCGCCCCACTCTTGCCAGGAAAGCCGAGTGCTGATCATTGTCAGATGGTTCACACAGAGGTTTCTGTTTTGTTTTGTTTTTATAAGGATCCAAGATGATAGGGGGAGGGAAAGAACTTTTGTCCTCTGCTTAAAATAATTCAAGAGCTTTCCACTGTCTACGCCAGGCTCAAGCATACATTTGCATAACAAATGGGCCTCTCCCCACTCTTCAGCCCTGGGTGACCCCAGCTCTATCTCCATCATCTCCATCTCCACCATCTCCATCTCCCATCCCAGCCGTGGGCCTGGGTTGCCTCTGGGGAGAGGAGGGCATGTGGAAGGTTGTAAGTTTTCAGCACTTTTGCCAATCAAGACTTTGTAAACAGCCTCTGGAACATTTCAGCAGTAAAACGTTTGCTTGGTGACCAACAAATAATTCCAGGCATCTTTTATTTTGCTGTAAAAATGCTACAAAGCAAGCTGATTCATGATTCTCCCTAACCTAAAGCCCACTGACAGCAGGACCAGACACCAACTTTGCTGTTATTATCAGAAGTGGCCTTTCTGTGGCGGGCATTCTCCTCCACATAGCGATGCACAAGCACAAGGCACAGGCCTAAGAGCCTGTTCAGGTGCAGAAAACCCAAGCAAAGCCTCTAGAAGTTTCACAGGATTTTCTTTTTTTTGCCCTTGAGGCAGATTAACACTTTTGCTAGTTCAGATGTAGAAATTATTCTAACAGTTCTGCTATTGCCATTTAAACAGATTTCATTGCAGGGTGCTTCCAGAGAGCATCTGCTGCCATGGCTGAGGTCACAATTTTCAGCCCAGCAAGCAGATAAAACTGCTGCAAGAGTCCATTGCCAGAGCTATTTTGAGCAGAGCAGTATCACCTCAACCCCTCTGCTGAGGAACTGGAGGAATTTTCTAGTTCCCATTCTTCTTCTGGGAGGGAAAAATAGGGCAGTAAAGCTTACATACCTTTGTGTAGCTCTGTGAGGTGGCAGGAGAGTTTTCACAAGAAACTGGGTGGAAGCAAATTCTATCAGAGTCCAAATGCCTGATCAATTATATCAGAATATTGTATTCTGGTGAAGTGGGGGAGAAGGGAAGTCCCAGCAATACTGAAACATCCCTTCTAGACAATGACTGAAAAAAATGTAGCAGTTGCTCATTTTGAAATGAGTTTCTGTAGAGCTTAGATTTTTTTTTTTTTTTTTTTGCATTACAGCACATTATGGGTACACAAATAAAAAATGAATCCATAATCGGTCAGAAACTATCATCCCTCCACCCGCCTTTTTCTTTTAGAGTAAACTTTGAAATCTGGCGTTTTACATAATGAGGACTATAGAGCAAACGTCCAGAAACCTATGCAACATTAAGCATCCATCCTCTGCACCAGGTCGTTGTCCTTTCTGGACAGTCTCCTGAAATGAGGGAGTTGCTCTGGCCCCCATGGCTCCTGGCAGGGGGGCACACATCCTTCCTCAGCCTGCCGCGTCCTGGCACGGGGGGATGCTGCTCACAACCACCCCCAGTCCGACCAGGGGCAAGTCTGACGCCTGAGCCTGGCTGACAGCAGGAAGACGGCTCTGCCCTGGAGACCAGACAGTAAATGCTTAATATGAGCTTTGGGATTCAACAGACCTGGGCTGCTTATTTTTCCATAGCAGACTCAAAGCATTGCAAAGTACTGCAGTGAGGTGCGAGGTAAAATCCAGGAGAAATTCTCCTGGGTTATTTATTCTTGCCTCTGTGAATTTAGAGTGTGTTCTGGTGGAGAACAGCAGGCTAGTTCCATGTGTACCTCTCTCCTTCTGATGTGCTCCAGGATTGTTTATCCCCACTTGAAAGAGAAGAGTTGAGGTCTGGGCTCTGCTGCAATTCATGGTGGCTTTGGCACAGCCGGCCTCAGTCCTGAGAATGGGTTTGAAACATGGCTTTTATGGCCCAGGTTTACAGCAAACACCGTGTACCCCAGGGCCCCTAGACCCACCTTCTGTCTGCTGGCTGGTTCAAACATCAGCCTGAGGTGCTGTTCCCTCTGCTTGTATCACTTGACCACAGAACCATTCTCCTTTATGTGCAAAGCCCTCCATCCCACCAGCATCTCCACTGGCAGGACACACTCACCTGCTGCTTTACTGCCCAGGCTGGCAGCCTGCATGCCCCAGGCAGGGTAGGACAGGCCCCTCCGGACGCACTGGGGCTTGCAGTCTAACCTGCTGGGCTGCTTTGGGTTTCATTCAATTTGATCAAAGCCTCAGAGATGCCATATGGCTCCCAGGGATGTTTTGCTGCGGAGGGGTTTGGTTTGCAGCACAATGGTTATGGCTGGCAGAGGCAGGGGAGCAGCTCCCACCCCTGCTCCTGAGTGCCCAGGGGTGACAAATGGCTCTGATGGCACCAGGGTGTACCCAGCCCACACCAGTGCCCAAAGCATGGGGACATGTGAGAGGAAAGCACAGCTCTGGAACTGCAAGAGGATGATTTGATGCTGTCTGAACAGTCACTCAGAGGACTTGGGTTTTGCTCTGGAGCCAAACAAAACTAACACTCGAGAAGGGCAGCGGCGCAGAACTGCCTCCCCTGCCCATTCCCATGCAGGACGGCGCAAGTGGAAAGCCTCATGGGGCTGCAAAACATTTCCTAAAACCACCCGGAGAGGAGCGAGGAGACTGCTGTGCTGCAGACCCCACCTGGGAGCCGCTGTGCCGGGACCAGGGCGCTGGCAGCCCAGCCCAGCAGCCGGGGCAGGCGCCCGGGCGAGCGCTCCGGTGTGGCCGTTTGCGAGTCACACTTGGCTTCCCCCCAGCACTTCTTCATTTTTGTGGTCTATTGAAATAATGGCTTCTAAAGGATGCCAGCTCAGGGTGATTTATTTTCCTCGCCATCCCTCCATCCCCTCTGTGGCGTTACAGGACTCCCATTTCAGACATACCCAAGATACCGAGCTGTGATTATGGCAGATGTATGCCACAAGGAAAACACAACGGTGAGAACAGAAGTTACAGTTACCTGGTGGATTTGGCTTCTGCTTCAAGACACAAGACTGAGATGGCAAAGCCTATAAAAAACCCCCACTGTACGGTGTGTTCATGGCAAAGCAGGTCACAGGCAGCATTTTTCTACAGCACATGAATTAGGATCCTCTGGGCCGTTTTCAAAAATAATTGAAGAGCCTGAATGTCACTTGGAAAATGCATACCTGTTCCTCACAGTTGCTGTGCTGGGGACTGCTGTGTCCCACTGTAACAGGGCAGGGGAGGCTCTGCCCAGTGTTTCGGAGAGGCCTTTTGTGGGATGTAGTTGGAGGGACAGGTGGGAATGGGAATGGGAGCCGGGACACTTCTCCTGGTGTCTGCTAGGAAGGGACTGCTCCGGGAGCTGCCTTCACTGCCTGCTCTGCTGCTGCACAGACCCCAGGGATGGAGAGGTTTTCCCTCGAGCTGAAAGAGCCTCCAGCTTCCTTCTGTTTCTACCACCCCTCCCTGCCTTCCTTCTCTGAGGTATTTTGCCCAAGTTCATTTCCAAGAGCCAGTTTCATCCTGGCTCAAATGGGTGCAAACATCACCAGAGTTCTTGTCTTGGAACACCATCTCAAAACAGTGTGCTGAGAACTGGGGAAACTGAGGCAAGTACAACAACCAGGAAAACCCTGCAAGGCTATTTTCATGTTTTCTGGGAAGGACAGTACTGTGCCCTGGACCTTTGGTTTGATCTGACACTTCCCACATGCAGTTCTCTGTCCCCTTCACTGCCTCCGCCGTGATTGCCCAGTGCCATCTGGTTACAAATCCTGCAACACCAGTATATGCTGCACCACAGGTACCAGTAACCATTTAAATGGTCACCAGATAAAGAAGAAAAAAACCCTGACAACAAAAGACCAACAAATAGTTGACTCTGTTCCCAGGCAAATATAAAGAACGGTTTAGGATCGTCACTGCTGTCCCTTTGTTTACTGGATGCAGTAACAGAAAAGGCAAGAAAAGAAAAAAAATATTCCCTGATAGCAACAACTTATTGTGGGCGAAGCAGGCTGGGGCATGCCCAAGAATAGGAGGGTCAGGCTCCGTGCGTATCTGCTGGTGACGGGAAATAAACGTGCCCAAAAGCACTTAAAAAAAAATAAAAAGGACCAGACCTGATTGCAGCAGTTAGAAGTGATATATTCTTGGCATGGAAACAAAAAGCAAATTCATAGCAGGTTTGGAGCTGATCTTACTGGCTTACATGGGATTTTATACTTAGGTAATTCTATTGTTGGCTGAAGCTACCTGATTTATGCCTGAATAAGGTCCTGATCCTGCAAACATTTACTTATGTACTCTAGTTTTACCTTTGCCCCTAGACACCCTATTAATTTCACTGCAGCAAAGACAGTGCTTGTCTGCAGAGCTGGGGCCTTTGCAAGATGAAAATCTGTGCTGTGATGCCTGTAAGGAAGAGGAAATTTTGCAGCGAGATGTGAACTCCCCCAGGCTGTGGTCATCCCACACCCTGAGACACTGCCAGCCCCAGGCACGCACACCCAAAAGCCGGGGGGGAGGGGGGGGGGGGCTTGCTCGTGGAGCTCCCTTTAACCCAAAGCTTTAGGAAGCAGCAGGGGAACATCCTTAGCACAAACCTGCAGCTGCGCTGAGCTCTGAGTCAGTCTCTGCAACAAGTCATACATAAGACAGTGGTGTAACACCAAGTTCATGCTGATGGTACCCTCTCCCCCAGGCAGACCTCCCAAATGGCCTGCTAAACATAGCAGAAACTATTTGGATTGGTTGTTTCCATTCAAGAAAGTGGTATTTATTGTTAATAACACTGGGTTTGCCCTGAACCTTCCCTATCACGAAGGTAAAAGAGAGGGATTCATCCATCAAACACTGTCTTTTGACAGTGAATCCTCTGGATTTGCTTCAAAGAGAGCATGAGAATAAAAATCTGTTGGAGGTGAGAGGAGGAGGACCAGCAAGGAGAAGATGTGTACTCACACATGAGTGGGGAAGACAGCAGCCTCAGCCGGCCGCCCGGCAAGACGCCCAGTGGCTGCGTGTCCGGCAGCACCATCGCTCACGTGCCCGTCACATGCTGCTAAGACCAGGCAAATGAAATAAAAAGGGGCTGTGAGTCTTGGAGCAGCTGCTTTCCTCACTGCCCCTGCCAAACCTTCCCGAGAGCACGACTATTCCTCGGCACAGGGGAGAGTTAATTTGCTTTACAAAGGAGCCATGGGGCTCTGCAGGCGGTTGGGTGTCTGCCGAAGCGGGTGCAGAGCTGCCGCAGCCCGGGGGCTGTGTGGGGAGCCAGGAGCACCACCTGGAGCCAGCCCTAAGGGTGCTCGAGGAGGCTGGAGAGGGGCCCAGAGCAAAACCCCTCTGGTACAAATCCCTGCTGCTTCCCATCTGAGACACTCGGCCAAGACACATCAGTCCCCAGCCCCTGAACCCGGCGATCTCCATCCGGCAAAGATCGGGTGCTACTTGTGGAGCAGCGAGTGTCCGTGGACCGCAGGGCACTGCAGCTTCCACACACAAGCTGTGGGACCTCTCCCTCCCAGACACACCTGGAAAAGGGTGCTAGCAGCAAACACGAGCTGTGTAGCCTTCCATTTCAGTATCTCTGTGAGCTAACGGCAGCCTTTGGCCCAGCCTCCCAGCTGCACCCTGCTCCTGGCAAGCAGAGAAGACCTGTGATGAATGGCACTGCCTGCACCCCGGGGCCAGATCCGTGCCAGCCTGGGGCTGAATTAGTGGTTCCTTTTGCCTGCTCTAACCTGGGCTAGGAGCGTGGGTCCAGAGCCTGCCTTCATCCCACGCTAACCAAACCTGCAGTGGATGGGGGGCGAGCGGAGCCCAGGCCCAGGGCGGGGGCAGAGGGAGGGCTGGGGGCACAGCCGCATCCCCCATTGCTGGTGTGCACCCTGGTGTGCTGGCGTTTACGGTACAGTGAGCCCCCAGGACGCTGCCACGACCACACAGCATGGCTGCACAGGGATTTTGCACTGTGTACATGGACGATGAGGCTGCAGGATGGGGCCGGAGATCACTCCCAGGAGCACTGGTGCATTTCCAGAGTAATTCCTCTGAATTTGGCTTTGCTTATACTGCAGCAGCCTGGAGAACTGAATTTT